TGGCAGAGCCTCTGCTTGCTGTGGAGAAGGTCCCAGGTTCAATCCCCGGCATCTCCAGTTGAAAGGACCAGGCAGCAGGTGATGGGAAAGACCTCCGCCTGAGACCCTGGAGAGCTGTAAAGAGGGGCTGTGGCTCAGTGGCAGAGCCTCTGCTTGCTGTGGAGAAGGTCCCAGGTTCAGTCCCCAGCACCTCCAGTCAAAGGACCTGGCAGCAGGTAATGTGAAGGACCCCTGCCTGGGAACCTGGAGAACCGCTGCCAGTCTACGTAGGCAATACTGACTTTGACGGACCAAAGGTCTGATTCGGAGTCAGTTTGGTGTTGTGGTTAAGAGCCGCAGGACTCTAATCTGGAGAACTGGGTTTGATTCCTCACTCCTCCACATGAAGCCAGCTGGGTGACCTTGGTCACAGTTCTCTGAGAGCTGTTCTCTCAAGGGCAGTCTTGGAAAGAGCTCTCTCAGCCCCACCTACCTCCCAGGGTGTCTGTTGTGGGGAGAAGAAGGGAAGGTGATTGTAAGATATTGGGCAGTGAAAGACGGGGTATAAAACCAACTCTTCTTCTTCTTCAGTGTAAGGCAGCCTCATGTGTTCAAAGGCAATCAGTTGGAAGCCTTGACCTGCGCTCAACATATCTTTGGTCCCTTCCACATGGCCCACAGCCAATGCACCCTACTATGCTGTGGAGTCTTGTGGGCAAAAATGTCTACTTTGTGAGCTACTGGCTTTAAAGTTGTGGGCTAGCGATTAGGGTACTGCATCAATTAGTTTGCTCTGGAGCCCTCCTTCCTGAGTGAAGCCAAAAATGCGTGAGCCGGAGGCTGAAAAACTGTGAGCAGGCTCACACTACCTCACCTCAGAGGGAACCCTGCCCGGCAATCGAAACTTCCAGAAACTGAACTACATACTCAAAAGACCAAACCACCCCCGCTTTCCACATTTTCGGCAAAACAAAAAAGAGATGGCATTGCCAACTTGAAGAATGTTCCACAAACACGGTACTCTTTGCAGAACTGGGTGAACGTTCCTAGCGGGTTCAAGAACGGGGGAGGTACAGGCGGAAATACCAGCCTCCCGGGCAATGCTCCCTCTAAGCTGTGGAGTCTTGTGAGCAAAAATTCTACTTTGTGAGCTACCGGCATGAAAGCTGTGAGCGAGCCATTTGGCTGCTGCATAAATGAGTTTGCTCTGGAGCCCTCCTTCCTGAGCTAAAAATGTGTGAGCTGGAGGCTTAAAAACTGTGAGCTCGCTCACGCTAACTCAGCTTAGAGGGAACACTACTCCCGGGGAATGCTCTTCTAAATGCATGTGTTTGCAGGGCAGCAAATCCAAAGGTGGCACGTAGCACCTCCTAGATAGCACGGTGTGCTGTTTGTGCCCTTCAAGGAGGACGGAAGGACAGCAAGATTTTGTTCCAGAGGGCACTGCAGGCCTTCCTTGTTCATGTAATAATTCACCAATGCCTATTGCCCTGAGGTCACCCACATTTGCTTTTCGGGAGAACCAAACAGGGCAGGGGTCAGAACTTAACTTCTGCCACCCACCTCTGCTTTCCATCACGTCCGGGTGTCCCCCCCCCTTCAGACCAAAACAGATGGTATGGGCTTCCCTTGCACCCCTTCCTACCACATGGCAGGCATACGACACGCTGCCTCCTGCTCTTTCCCACGTTAGGGGCGGAGTGAAGACCTCCACAGCCCCTGACAGATGCTGACACCATGCCCAGAGGGCATTTCCTCGCACCAAATGTGCACTGAGATTCCCCAGTGGGGGATTTCCCCACCCGTGCAGCAGCCTGCAGAGATTTCCCACCTTCACAATGGCAAGATTGCAACATGGATATTCCCCAGTGCCATGGAGAGGATAAGAACATCAGAGAAGCCATGCTGGATCAGGCCAAGGGCCCCTCCAGTCCAACACTCTGTGTCACACAGGGGCCAAAAATACCAGGGGCCCTCAGGAGGTCCACCAGCGGGGCCAGAACTCCAAAGTCCTCCCACTGTGGCCTCCCCTAAGCACCAAGAAGACAGAGCATCCCTGCCCCAGACATAACAACAGAAGAGAAGCCATGTTGGATCAGGCCAATGGCCCATCCAGTCCAACACTCTGTGTCACACAGTTGCCAAAGCCCAGGGGCCATCAGGAGGTCCACCAGTGGGGCCAGAACTCCAGATGTCCTCCCACTGTTGCCCCCCAAGCACCAAGAAGACATAGCATCACTGCCCCAGACATAAGAACAGAAGAGAAGCCATGTTGGCTCAGGCCAATGGCCCATCCAGTCCAACACTCTGTGTCACACAGTTGCCAAAGCCCAGGGGCCATCAGGAGGTCCACCAGTGGGGCCAGAACTCCAAAAGTCCTCCCACTGTTGCCCCCCAAGCACCAAGAAGACAGAGCATCACTGCCCCAGACATAAGAACAGAAGAGAAGCCATGTTGGCTCAGGCCAGTGGCCCATCCAGTCCAACACTGTGTGTCACCCAAAACCCAGGGGCCATCAGGAGGTCCACCAATGGAGCCAGAGCTCCAGAAGCCCTCCGCTGTGGCCCGCCAAGAACCAAGAAGACAGAGCAGCACTGCACCAGACAGCGTGCTCCATCTGTACCTTGTGGCATCTATACCTTGTGGCTGAAGAAGAGAATACTGAAAGCACAGTTCTCTCTTCTAAGTCCCTCTCTGCCTACACCTAAGAAAACGAATCAGGGTTCTAAAACTGTTGGTATAATTGCTATATGATGGATTAAAACTGATGGATTAAAACTAAATGGACGTATTACCAAAAGCATCAATAAAAGTGGCTTCCATGGACACACAGAAACTGTAATGTGCAATGCAACAGACAAACAGTGTGATTCTATGCACTGGGTTGCGCTGAAACTCTACTCCAGACTGGCCTTTGCATTCTAGACACTGGTAGGCTGTTGTCATCAGAGCGACGGAGCAAGCCCAAACAGCCGAATGCAAATAAACGAATGTGCACTGGAGAGCACTGACCGACGGCTGCTTGCCTTTGTCGACGAGGCTACCGCTTTGAGCATTGGAGCTGCCTGAATGATAACATAAATGGTAAAAAAACAAAGTTGTTCGGCCTCTGTTGGACTATCCTCTGGGTTTCTTAAAAAGAAAGGGGTGGTGGGAGTCCACATAACTACCTGATAATAGAGGGCTCCCGTGTTCCAGATCTATCAGGGTTAAAAGAACACTGAAACCTTGCTCATTTGCACACCGCCGCTGCACCACCGGGACACACACACACACACACACAACCAAATCAGCAGAAGTTGCGGCGCAACTAAATCATACTTGCTACTGACGACTTGCCCCAGGAGGAATTATTTCTTACAGTGCTTGGACACGGTGTCCAAGTGAACGTAGCCACGAGATAGGGCAGCTGTTTCAAGTAATTTGGTGCACCATGTTCTTGGGCAACTCGGCTGAGCAACACTGTAACTTTGCAAGCAAAGGAGACTTACATTCATTAAAAAAATGCGTAGCTTCAAAAACTATCATAAGAACATAAGAAGAGCTCTGCTGGATCAGACCAGTGAGGGTCCATCTAGTCCAGCATCCCATCTCACACAGTGGCCAACAAGTTCCTCTGGAGGGCCAACAACAGGGCAGAGAGTCTGAGGCCTTCCCCTGATGGTGCCTCCTGGCTCTGGGATTCAGAGGCTTAATGAACAACTTTGAACCTGGAGGCTCCCTTTAGGCCCCTTGGTGAGCAGCCATGAATCTGTCCAAGCCATTTTTAAAGCCATCGAAGCCTCTGGCCATCCTTACATCTCCTGCCAGCAAATTCCACATTTTAGTGTTTCCTTTTGTCTGCCCTGAACCTACTGCCCATCAGCTGAATCGGATCCCCCTGTGGACTGCAATGGCACAACAGATCTTGAGGGAATCACCTGCCCATCAACTCGATTTATTTGACATGTTAATTAACTGCCTTTCTTCTGATGGAGCTGAAGGAGGCTTACAAGATTAATAAAAACGTTTTAAAACATAACACCAACATTTAAAATCACCACTGAAAGGCAGGCAGAACATGTGCAACAGCCCCATCACCCCCCCCTCCTCCTTGCACTGCACGCTTTCTGCATGTCGACCCCACAGGGAAAAGGGGCACAGAGTGAGGCTTAGAGCTAGAGGCTTCCAGTGGGTTAGAAAGTGGCTTTTTTATCTGATGGAAAGGTGAGTTTAAAACACAGGTGCTCTTGAGCCAAGAGGCAATGCACACCAGAAGAGGGAGAGCTGGAAGCAGAGAGAGAACATGCAAAATGCAAATCCAGAATTTGTTTTCTAGCAAGTAGATAAATAGGTACCACTTCGGTGGGAAGGTAACAACGTTCCGTGCACCTTGGTGTTTAGTCATGCCGGCCACATGACCACGGAAACATCTTCGGACAGCGCTGGCTCTTCGGCTTTGAAACGGAGATGAGCACCACAACCCTAGAGTCGGACTCGACTGGCTTTCGAGCAAGGGAACCTTTACCTTTATGTTTGTGGCCGTCACTACATTCTCTGGCAGCAAATTCCACATTTTAATCACTATTTATGTAAAGACGCATTTCCTTTTGTCTATCCTGACCCAACTGCCCATCAGCTTCACTGGACGCCCTCGAGTTCTAGTAATTGGGAGAGGGAGAAAAATTTCTCTTTGTCAACTCCCCCACCCATGTCCCCTCTTAGTTGTCAACTCTCCCCTTAGTTGTCAACTCTCTCCACCCCATACATAATTTTCTAAACTTCTAACATGTTCCCCCCTCAGTTGTCTCCTTTCTAAACGGAAAAGTCCCGGACTCTTCAGCCTTTCCTCCAAGGGACGGTGCTCCAACCCCCTAATAATCTCGGTTGTCAGATCATAAACACGTACAAGATGCAGCGGAGTCCAACCCTCCAACTTTAGAGGCGAAGTCGAACAATACAGGCACAGCACATCTTACAGATCTGCAGAAGTACAATCTCACCTCGCCTAGCCTGTGCAGCCAGGTGTGAGGCTCGCTGCCCGTGCAAGCGCACATGGATGAGGCTGATAAATGCATTCCAGAGACTGCAGACTCCTCGGGAAACCAAAGGCCTTGCAAGCTCACTGTTTGGAGAGGACTGTCAAAGCTGATCTAGGGATCTTAATTGCTGTCACAAGGCACAGAGGAGCAGGCTGGCTGTGGCTGTTGGCGTGACCACGGCCCCTCCTTCAGCAGAACACGGCAAGGTCCCGGCAACACAGGGTCTTAAGAACACAAAGGCTGTCCCTATCAACGACTCAGAAGCAAGAGGCTCTCTTTCAGGGGCAAAGCTGTTAGGAGTTCAATGGATCCTCCACATCCAGAGGCAGGGTCGCTTTCCATTCCTTGGCAGCAGAAAGCGCGGCAATTAAAGGCAGGCGAGTCCCTTTCCCCCAGAGGCACAGTAGCTTCTTTAAAAATAACAAACACGATCTCTCCGCCCATCCCACTTGCGGGAAGAAGTACTACGGTTTCACTAGTTCTAGTGATATCACCACCACCCCCAGAAAGGGACAAAGCTGATGATGTCATACACACACGCCACCTACATAGTGGGGAACGGGAAGAATTCACTGCTGGTGACATCATACAGGGAGCAATGACATCATTCAGCCAAACCTTCCTGACAAGAAGACCACATACGCATGAAGCTCCCTTAGACTGAATCAGAGTCTGGGTCCATCCGACTGGCAGTGGCTCCCCAGGGTCTCAGAGAGCTAGTCTGGTGTAGTGGTTAGGAGCGTAGACTGGGAGAACTGGGTTTGATTCCCCACTCCTCCACAGGCAGCTACTGGTGTGACCTTGGGTCAGTCACAAGTTCTCCCAAGAGCAGTTCTCGAGAGAGCGCTCTCTCAGCCCCACCTACTGGGGCGCCTGTTGTGGGGAGGCGAAGGGAAAGGAGATTGTAAGCTGCTCTGAGACTCCTTTGGGTGGTGAAGGGCGGGGTATAAATCCGGTCTCCTCTTCCTCCTCTTCTTCAGATGGAGGTCTTTCACGTCACCTGCTGTCTGGCCCTTTTGACAGGAGATGCCAGGGTTTGAACCCGGGACCTTCGGCATGCCAAGCAGAGGCTCTGCCGTTGAGCTACGGGCCCCCCTCCATTTGGCCCGGCACCATGCAACCGAGGAAGGGAACCCAATGCTGGACACAGCTCTCCCCCGCAACCCATGTCAGTGATGTCACGGTTACGATTATGACATCATAAAGCCAGCCTTCCAGAAGACCCGCCGCCAGGCCACTGCGGCTGAGGCTGGGATATTCCTACAGATTTGGGGGAAGGGGTTTAGCCCGGGCGGTGACATCGTAGAAGCTACCTATTTGTTCCAGGGAAGCTGACCTCGGTAGCCTGGAGATTGTCACGGTTGCCAACCTCCCGGAGGCCGCAATATATGCCATCTCCAGACAGCTCTTGTGGATGAAATGGGAGCTTCGGGGAGCCCCTCCCCAATCTCCCCCCCCCCCAATCACACAAAATTTTCCAAGCCGAAAATAAATTTTAGTCCTAGGGGGCCTCCAGGCCGCACCTGGAGATTGGCAACCTTGGCTTGAGGGGGTCCGGCTAAGCCCGTGCTCGTGACGTCACGTCCCCGGGGAGGGACCGGGGCCTATGACGTCACGCCCCAATCCCTCCTCCCGCCGAGGCCCATCACTGTCCCCCGCAGAAGTGGCCCCGACCCGCGCTCTCTCACCAGGACAGCCCGCTCGGCCGCGCTCGCCAGCGCCGCCATCCTCATCGTTGCCGCCGATCCGCCACACAGACGCGACACGGAGCGAGTGACCGTCTGAGGGGACCGACTGAGGCGACGGCCGCTGGAGCCAGGGCTCCGCCCCCCCTCGCTTCTCATTGGACAGCCGCCTCAGGCGCTGGCGTTCTCGTTGGCCGGACGGCCCGGAGACCCTCCTCGCCCCTCCCATCTCCCCTCCCTCTCAAACGTCCCCCTCTCCCACGCTGGGGCGCTGGCGTTTCCTGCCTAGCAACTAAGGGACCGAGCGGAAGCTGATTGGATCAGGTTTCTGTCGCCAGGTTTTTGTTTTTTTTTGCGGCACGAAGGAACGCATTCTCGGGGGGAGGAGCTTGGTGGCGTCACAAAGGGGCCAAGGGCCGGTGACTTCACAGAACAGATGGCCTTGGGGGAGGGCAGGAGGTCACGAAGTTGGAGTCCAGTCCGGTATCTCGGATTGCCAACCTCCCGGGGGCGGGCGGGAGATTCCCTGGGATTCCAACTGGTTTCCAGGCGACAGAGGTCAATTCAGCTGGAGAAAATGGCATGCTATGGAATTATACCCCGCTGAAGTTCCTCCCCTCCAGAAACCCCGCCCTCCTCATGCCCCACCCCCAAATCTCCAGGTATCTCCCAAATTGGAGCTGGCAACCCTACCTTAGAGACCAAGGTTTTTCAGCTCCCTTGGCCGGATACCAGGAGGTTTTATGCTGCCTCTTTGGAAGAGCCAACGATAAACCCCGAAAAAGCCCTTAAGAGATAAATCTCTACGATTTAATTAGGGTGCAATCCAAAAGTCCTGCTATACTATGATGTATTTATATCGGTATGCATGTGAGGCAAAACAGAAGTCCTGAAAGGTAAAGACTAGCAACTTTGATTCCAGTATGAGCTTTAGAAAGTCAAAGCTCACTTCCTCAGATACAACGGGAAAGGGAGAAAAAGTGTACACCTCGTTTTAAGAAAGCGGCAGCAGAGAAGGGGGAAAGGGGCAGGAAATGAGCAAGGGTCGGCTGGCTGTCCTAGGTCAGGTGTGATTCTCTAGTTATACATCAGGGATGCACTGGCATGTGGTGAAAATAAACAGAAGTGTAATAAAAAGGTCCTTTCCCTTGCTCGAAAGCCAGTCAAATCTGACTCTAGGGGGCGGTGCTCTTCTCCGTTTCCAAGCCGAAGAGCCAGCGCTGTCCGAAGAAGTTTCCGTGGTCGTGTGGCTGGCGTGACTAAATGCCAAGACGCACAGAATGCTGTTACCTCCCCACCAAAGCAGCTTTTGAACTGCTAGGTTGGCAGGAGCTCAGGCCATGTTGTTCAGTCGCAGTCGAGTCTGACTCTTCGCAACCCCATGGACCAGATCACGCCAGGCCCTCCTGTCTTCCGCCGTCCTCTGAAGTTTGCTCAATTTCATGTTTGTTGCATCTATGACACTGTCCAACCATCTCATCCTTTGAATCTTCAAGCATCAGGGTCTTCTCCAGGGAGTGCTCCCTTCTCATTTGGTGGCCAAAGTATTTGAGCTTCAGTTTCATTATCTGGCTTTCCAGGGAACAGTCAGGGTTGATTTCTTTTAGGATTGACTGATTCGATCTCCTTGCAGTCCAAGGGACTCTCAAGAGTCTTCTCCAGCACCACAGTTCAAAAGAATCTATTTTTTGGCGCTCGGCCTTCCTTATAGTCCAACTTTATGGCTCAGGCCATAAAGCAGGGTAATTAAGGAAGAGACAGTTTGAAGCATGAAAGGGCAAACCCAGCATCAATAGCCATGGTATGAGACATGTTAAGTGGTAGCGGAAAGTTTTTGAGGCAAGAGATGTTCAGATGTCGTTTTGCCACTGCATTCTTCTGCCTTGCAACCCTGGCTTTCCTTGGTGGAAGGAAGCAGGATCCACCCCTGCATAGCTTCTGGGATCGGATGAGATCCGTCGAGCCCGGGGCCATCCAGGCCAGGGGACATAAAGCATCGTCTATGAAAAATTTCTTTTAAAAGGGTCCTATTGTTGGGTTATTAGAAATTATGAGCGAGGAAATCAAAGTCTGGGTTTTAAATTCTGGTCAAACTCCCAAGTCAGTGTACATGTGTTGTGTGTTCGCTAGTAATCCAATCTGGAGCACCGGATTAAAGGGTAACTCATTGCTAAAGTCAACTGTAACCTCCTTTTAATACTGATCTTTCCCCCCAGGAACTGAGGTTATGCATGTTTCATGAGCTGGGAGAACAGGAGAAATGTTTCTGGCCCAAAGTCATAGACTTTACAAAGCGAGGATTGGCAGCTACGTTAACCGGTAAAGGGCAGGTTTGTTTTCAGTTCCTTTTTCTGCACAAGCTCTGGTTGAAACTTGCTTCCCGGCCGTCCTCCTCTGGGCGAGGTGAAGTAATAAAGAATCAAGCTCTCCTCAACAGTAAAGAAATAAGCATTGGCTGTTGTAAGATTTTCCAGGTTGTGTGGCTGTGGGCGTTGTAGGACCTGACGTTTCGCCAGCAGCTGTGACTGGCATCCTCAGAGGTATAACACAGAAAGAGGGAGTGCTCTCTGTGTCAAGGTGAGAAGAAAAAAGGTAGGCAGGTGACTTGTATCTACGCAGGAAGGTGGGGTAGGGCTGAGTCATTATCTTGTAGGAGTTCCCCAGGCTGTGAACATGCTAATGGAGGGGCTTTCCTGAGGAGGA